CCCCCCCCCCCCCCCCCCCCCACGCATGGCATCATGTCGTGTATTTGCGATGATGTTTCTTTAGCCTGCTGTCGCGCCATTGTTTTGTGTTTTCGGCTCCTTCTGGGCGTGCTTGTCCTCTTCTTATCTTCTCCTCGTGTGCAATCGTCGGCACTTCTTTATCGGCCGTGTGCTGTGTGGTGGTGACAAGATTTGCCGCATCCGCGAGAGCCGCCTGCGCGAGCTGAAGCGAGTACACGAGGCGCGAGCGGAGAACATCGCCAAGGGCCACGGCCAGGTGTGTGCTACGTGCTGCTGCCGCTGCCGCTGTCGGTGTTTGATGTTGCCGATTGAAGCTGATGTTGCTGGCTCTGCCGCCGCCCCCGCCGCCGCCGCCGCTGCTGCTGCTGCTGCCGCTGTCGATGTTTGATGTTGCCGATTGAAGCTGATGTTGCTGGCTCTGAAAAAACGCAAAAGCAGTGCAGGTCATCGCACGCCCCCGAGACCAACATCGCTACTGCCGTCACAAAAGTCGTGGGTTGGGTCGGCCTCGAATGTTGGCACACACCCCCCCCCGCCGTTGTGCATAGCAGTGCTCATCGCCGCGCATGCCATCATCGCTGCCATTCGCCCGATCGTGTCTTGTACCGTCTACTCATGTTGTGCTTTATATCGCCGCAGTACCGTGAGATCGTCCAGGATGAGTTCCTGCCGGAGGTGACCTCGAGCGAGAAGGTCGTCGTGCACTTCTACCACAAGGACTTCCAACGGTGAGTTGGCACCTGCCTGCTCGACGTCGGCGCATCGCGCAAGCACGGCACCGCAAGAGCTGTGTGCCGAGGCGCGTGTACCGCGCGCAGTACGCAACGCACGTGTACGTGAACCCATGCTATAAAAATTCAGAGTTCGAACGCGCTTTTTCAAGTCTTCTACATATCTTGTTTTCTTTTTCTTGCCGGGCGTCATGAGAACAGCGCGTCCTTGGAGACGTGTTCATGGAAGGAATGTTTTGTTTTGCCGTTGGTGAAGACCTGGCAGCAGACGCGCAGCGCTGTTCGACGAAGGCGTGGGACTTTTCCTTGCTCATTTTGCAACGTGTTGTCGTTACGTGCAAGTGCGCACGTGCTTGGACAAGCATAATGATGCAGCGATTTCGGCTCCGCCGAACCACGGTGGTCGCCTCTCCTGGGCTTACAGCACCTTTCCTACTTTTTTTTTTCGGGGAAAAATGAAGTACGTGTGGTGAATGAAGGTGACCCTTTTTTTTTTTTCTTGTTGGAGATACTATTCCTGTGTGTTATGTCGTGTGGAATCGACTACAAGATGTAGCCGAGCACGCAAAATTGTGCCTGGATGCCGGATGCGCGGACATGCAACCTCCGGGGACCAACTCTGCCTGTTTACAGCGCGCGAACACCCATCGAACACACCGACCAACCCCCTCCCACTCCTCCTCTCTCCCTCGCTGCCGACAATGTTTTTTTTTTTTTTAAACATATACCTTATACAATCACAGAAATACTCGCCGTTCTAAATCTAACCACAGCCGTAGTCGAAGGGGATGTGTTTGAAGCCTTTGCAGTGAGCGGAGAAAAATCAGCTGGATACTGGAAGACATCGCGTCTTGTTGTTGTGCGTGTGCGCGCGGGCAGGTGCAAAGTGATGGACATGCGCCTTGGGGAGCTGGCGCCTAGGCACCTAGAGACGAAGTTCTTGAGGATAGACGCAGAGAAGGCGCCCTTCTTCGTCCAGAAGCTCCAGGCAAGGGGGGTCGTTTTCGAAGTTCGAAGTTCGGGAGCGATTTGGGGATGCCTGCTGAAACAAACGGGCATAACTTGAAGAATTGTTTTTCGATTAGACTGAAAAAAATCGAAACGAGGCCAGACTTCGGATTCTGTTGTGTCGAGGAACATTTTTTTTCGAGATTTCGAACGGTTTCGACGAAATGCGCTGCGTTTGAACTGGCGCTTGAGGGTTTATCTCTGTTTGTGGGTAGATACCCTATTTGTTGCATTTTGTGACCCATGCCATGATCCGCCAACTACAGGGTCTCGCGCAACCCGTGGTCAAACGATTGGTTTGTGTTTTTAGGCGCCTGTACGCAACAATGCAATCTTCAAACCACCAAGGCATGCACAAAACATTGAGAGTGCCAACAATGCGTTTTTTTCTTGTGGTAAGGTTTGGTGAGTTGGGTTCCGCCGGCCTGCACTATGCAAACTCGGGGCGGACATGCTGCAGAAATATGCCGTTCAGCCTAGACTACCCTGTTCGTCCTTGTCGTTGGTTGAATGCCATGGTTGGCGTCGGGTCTTTCTCACGTGTCGCTTGATGGTGTTATTTTCACCAACGTCTGCCTCCACCAAAGATCAAAAGTGTGTGTCCCCCCCCCCACCCCCGACAATAGTTTATTTCGCGTACCCCCCCCCCCCTCCCTTGTCCGTCGTCACTTGCAGGTGAAGATCCTTCCGACGGTGATCTGCTTCATCGACGGGGTGGCGGTGCACAACATCATCGGTTTCGACGGCCTGACCGCTGGCCTCCCGCCAGACAAGCTGGACGAGTGGCCGCTCTCCAACCTCGCCAGGGAGCTCGCGCTCGCCAAGGTATTTACACCGCTCGCCGTTCTCGTGGAGGATGTATGCTGTTTTGCGCAAGCGAGCCGAAACTTTGTTCATCTAGTTTAGAAGCGCGCGCCCCCTGACGTCCGTCCGCGGTTTCTTTTGCCCCAAGAATCACGACACAACGCACGTGTGGCGTCAAGCGCCAACCGTCATGTTGCCCTTCCTCTCCTTCGTGATGCGCTATGTATTGCTTTCCCCAACCAGGCGATAATTTACAGCCAGCGCGATGCACCAGAGGGCACGGGTCCGCGGGAGCAGGGCGGCTACACGGGGGCGATCCGGGCAGGCTTGAACGACGGCGATTTTTCGGACGAGGATGGTTGAAGAAAAAAAAAAGCCGTCGTATATAGGCGGAATTGTTTGCCTGAACCACTGGTGGTTCAGGCTTGGCTTTTTTTTTCGCGCTGTCAGTTGTTGTTCCTTGAGGACAACCTCTAATGGGTTGACCGAGTGATTTGACAGGGGGTGTTTTTGGTTTTGAGAGAGCGTGTTGTGGATTGCCGGTCGTTTGATGTCTACCATATCAAGAAGTAGTGTACTAGCTTCAAGTGCTTGATGCGTGCGTCCGGTGCGCGAGTGACCGCTACTCCTGTTGCACCGTGGATATAGCCTAGCTGTACACCCGAGCTGTACGATGTCAGCATTCACCGGGATCGTTTTGCCGGTGCAACGTCTTGTTTTTGTACGCGTTTCCCTCTTTCTCGGTTTTGGTGGTGTATGGAGGCGTGTATGCAAGGAGGTTAGCGAGATGACTCTCTACCGAAAGCGATTGAGTCATCACTGAGCGCGGTGCTCGCCGCGCGCCCCAAAGAGAGAGGTGTATTCCAGACAAAACTACGGGTGGTTCACCATACTTGTAGTTCAGGCCTGTGTCCTTGCAAGAATGCAACAATCAATACCCTACGCAGTTATGAATGGCCTTGGCTGTATGCATACGCAAAGATGGTGCAAGGACAATCAACGGGATGCGAAAAAAAAACTCACGAATGAAGGGCGAGACGGTGACGTATGACTCCTGGGACAAGTCGAAAGAGGGTTTCCTTACACTTAATTTACGTCGGCACACCAAGCCTATTTGTCGGACTTAGTTTGGGTGTGCGTCGTTCCATGAAAAGCCTTTGTACTGAATCTGCAGTAGCAAACAAGGTTGTGGTCGATACCGTATCTTTCGTGGGACCGCTTTTCGAAGCTCGATGACTCCACGACCAAAAGATGTGTTTATCGCAAAGATCTCGACAAGACGCTTCCAACGTCGCCCTTTTCGGCACCAGCGCTCTTTCTACTAGCTGTAGGAGTAGTCGAAATGTGAAAAAATCGGTCCAGGGGGTGTGGTATCTTGTGTCAAGTAACAAAGGAATGCAGTGGTGGTACACAGATTCTCTGATGATATCCATTCGTACACCCCCCGACCCCTTCACACCCAGCCGCAGTCCCCCCCCACCGTTGGTGGTAAATCTCAAACCGTCTCTTTCTTCGCGCACACACAGCGACAGACAAAAGCCCGAGGCTTACACTGACGAGCGCGTGCAATAGATCGCGGCTGGCTGGAAGACGCTTTCCGGCCTGATCCTCGAGGGTTGTTCCCTTTGCGCGATCTCAAGCAACTTGTGCACCTTTCGTCGCATGATACATACCAGTGCTCCGAAAGAGACGGTAACACACGAATCCAAGCCAACGAGAGGAAAAGACACACACGAGCGCTGCGGCAGCAGCACGTCGGCTCGGCCATGATGTGGAAGCGCAGCAAGAAGAAGAAGGAGGAGAGCCTCGACCCGGCTCCTGCCGCAGCCACCTCGGCAGCATCAGCCGCCGAGGATGGCGCCATGTTCTCCCACCCGGGGGCGTACGGCGCCATGATGCTCCCGCCGGAGGCGCTCAAGTCCGGATTCTTCGCGGGAAGGAGGCGGCGGCGGCGAGAGGAGGCCAAATCCAGCAACGGCAGCAGCAGCAGCAGCAGCAGCAGCAGCGATGCCGCAAGCACCCAGAAGAAGCAACAGCAGCACCCTCTCTGCTCAGGGGAACCCGGGAAGATCGACGGCCTCGTGTCGGAGGCGCGGGAGGCGAAGGAGGCGGAAGACGCCGTCCGCGCGGAGGCGGCGATTTTGCGCGAGAGGAAGGCTCTGCTGGACGCGGACATCCGGCGGCTGGAGAGGGACAAGGCCGACCTGACGGAGGAGCACCTGGCGCAGATGGAGAGGCTCCGGCGGGACCTCCAGGAGGACGCCCGGGACGGCAAGCGCAGGCTCGAGTCCGAGCTTGAGAAAGGGCACGCCAAGTCCATGGATCGGCTGCGGCTGACCCTGAAGGCGGAGGCCGAGAGCCTGGCCGGAGAGACGAAGCGCCTGCGCGAGGACCTGCAGCGCGCGCGGGAGGCTAAGTCTGCCGCCGTTGCCGCCGCTGCTGCCGCTGCGGCTAGCCCGAGAGCTAAAGGTGGTAAGTCGTCAGCAAGATCGATCGCTCGGGATACCCCTGCTGCTGCTGTGCCGGCGCTGCCCGCTGGATTCTGGAACTCGTTGACCAGCGCCTTTACCCCCCGCGATCTGCTCGACGGGGTGGCGGTGGGAGTGGGAGACGGCGGCAACGGCGCCGTTCCGCCGCCCGCGCTGCTGGTGCTGGCCGCGGTGCCGCTGTTTTGCTTCCTGAAGCGCTGGCGGATCCAGAGGTAAATTGCCCCCTTGCACTTGTAGCGGAGTTCTCTCTCTTGTGCATATACATAAGTATAAATTAAATTATTGATGAACGGTCGGTCTTGCACCTAGCGCCAGGTGCCATGCACTCTGCTGTGTACTGCTGTTGACTAACACGCGAACATTAATACACAGCACGGCCGTCTGTACGGCCGATATTCGAAGAGGACCGTTCGACAGCAGTTTCACTCTCATGTATTTCTCTTAGGATGTGGTGCTCATGATGGCAGCAGCACTTTTTCGTGCCAGATGTTTTTTCATACTCAACTGTACACGCCCCAAGAACGGGATATGTATCCTTTCCAAAGTTGTTGTCCCAAGCGCTCGGGGGGAGTATCCCGACTCATGCCGCGTGGCGTTCAGGCGACGTGACTGACCATGAGAAGCCTATGGCACACAACTGCCGTAAGACTGCCGATCGTCGCACACGCCCCTACACAGACCTGCAACCCTCGATTGCTCCAACGGAGACAGGTTGTGACAACCGACCGAAGGGCAACAAGGAAAGCTCTCGGCGAGACACTGCCAAATCCACCTTTTAAGATATACATGAATACACAGAAAGACTACGTTGTACCCGTTGGAGACGCAACCACAGCCGAAAGGGGTGTGCTGACTTTTTCATCTTGTCGTAATGGGTGGCCTGTCATTGTTTGTGGAGTCATGTGCGTGAAATCGAGACAAGCAGGCTTTTTTCATGTTCAGCGGGGGCGCGATACCCAGCAATACCACAGACGGGGGAGTGCGATGACCCGCAAGGCGACAGACCGGCAGTCAGAGCACTGACTGGTCGAAAAGGTTGACCGGCGCTTGGCGACTCGTGTGTCTTCGAAAACGTAGATCGCGAGAACGGATGGCACATGCTCGTGTACACAGCCGCACAGACAGCCGCCGATCCGTCCCCCGTTTGTCCAGCTCCCTCCGGGCGCATAAGCTCTGGTTTCCACCTCCACCAACGCCATGCGAGCCCCCCGCCCTTCTTAAGCATGTTACGCCGCGTCCACCGTCTGCTGCCTGTATCCCCCCCAAGTTGTCCCGTTTAACCTATGCGCTCGTTTGGTATTACGTCACTTCTTTTTCGTCTCCGTGGCAACCACAGGCTCGTGGCAGACCAAGAGGGCACCAGCATCAGCGGCAGCGATGACGAGGGCCAGACCACCGATGTCGAGGCCCAGTCGGACAAGGAAGAAGAAGAAGAAGAAGAAGAAGTCGAGGGCGCCTGGCGGGGGAAGGAGGCGGTGGGCGACGAGGAGAAGAAGGCGAAGGGCGACGACGGGGACAGCAGTGCTGCCGAGGAGAGGGAGGAACGCAGGCGGCGGACGGACCAGCTGCGGCGGTCCTTGTCGTCGTCGCCTATGAAGCTGCGGGTGAGAGGAGTTTTTGGCTGGTTTTGCGTGGTAGCTTTCTACCCGTTTTCGAAGGCATGCAGCCAATCATTATGTTGGTTGCGATTGAACGGAGCGTTTTGTTTTATGCCGCTAGTGCTGCGTTGTGCTTCAGAACGATGTTGTCCTGGGAGAACGACCGTGCCAATGCGCTGTCATGTCGCCATCTGGGTGAGTCTGACATTGAGCCTTCACATGAATTCCAGGCGCAAACAAGCACACAAGCCATTGCGCCGCTGCCCCCCCCCCCAATGACACCTCGTCTTTGAACAACAACAACAACAGACCGGAAACCCCCCGGGCTCCAGCCTAAGGCTGAACCTGTCGCCGCGGCCGCAAGGCCCTCAGATAACGGAACCAGAAGTCTTGGTGAGCCCCTCCGTCGTCATGTCGAGGAACGCTTCCTCTGGCCGCCGCCAGTCCACCATGCTGCCGTCCAGCGGTGGCCGCGGCTCCCGGTTCCAGGGCCTGTCTGGCGCGGCCGCGGTGGCGGCCAGGAGGAAGAGCAGCATGTCTGTGACGGCCGCGGGTGACGGCGCAAGCGCTATGGGCAAAAGCTGCGGCATCGACGAGAACGCCGACTCCCCGGCGTCCGTTTCTTCCGGCAGGTCGTCCTCCGACGCAGCGGCGTCTCCGGAGCGCTCAACCCCTTCCGCTAAGGGCGACAGCAAGCAGCAGTCGTACAAGAAGAAGCAGCCGTTGCTTCTCCATCGCGCCAAGTGGCAGCAGCAGAATCGTGCCAGCCTGTCCCGCCCGGCGCCCGGCGGCCTTGCCGCCGCCGCCGCCGCCGCCAACGCTCGCGCATCGGTCGCCGGCGGCGGGGTCGTTAGTGACCGGCGCGGTAGCCAGGCGGGGCTCGCAGGCGCCGCCAGCGGCGGCGAAGGCGAGGCGACTGCAGCAGCGGCGGACGTGGCGGCGGCTGGCGATGTCGACCGCGCCGCCGCCGCCGGCGCGCGCGCCATGCGCGGCGCGCTGGAGGGTCTCCGCAGCGAGCGGGACTCCTTGGCGAACGCCTGCGGGCGGCTGGAGGCGGACCGGGAGGCGGCGTCGGTGCAGCTGCGGGAGGGCGGGGAGCTGGTGAAGAGGCTGACGGAGGCCAGGGAGACCCTCGAGGCGGACAAGCGCGCGCTCGCCGAGAGGTGCGAGGCGCTGCAGGGGGAGGTGGACGCGTACGCTAGTAGGAAAGGGGAGGAGGAGACGGCACGGGAGGACGCTGAAAGTGGGTTGCGCGCCCGGGTCGTGGGGCTGGAGAAGAACCTGGAGGAAAATGCGGAGCTGGTAGGTTGTTGTTGTTGCTGCGCGCATGCCGAAACGTCGACCGACAACGTCATTGTTTTGTTTTTGAAGACAACGAACCCATCCATTTAGATCCACAGAGGAGAGTCCAGTGCGTTTATTTTTTATTTTTTTGCTTTTGATGCGATCTTGAAGGCGGGGTGGTTGCATGTGTTTGGACAGGATGGTATCGCTCTGTTCTCGACTGCGTAGTTGGTGCAATTCCTAACAGACGACCTGGAACTGTTCGAACTCGAACACACACCGCAGGTGGCCGGCAAGGAGGCCAAGCTCGTAGAACTCGGGGCTCGGATCGTGGACCTGGAGCGGTCCCTCGCCGCCAGCAACGCCTCCGCTGCCACGGTCAGTGTGTGGCCATCGCGGCGTGTGTATTGTTGTGCGCGTGGAACAGCCGTGTCGTATCGCACCCTTCTGCGTGGTCCCTGCTGGTGAATGTTGTAGCTAGTGATCGTTGTCTTGTTTGTGCCCTGGGGTATTGGCGTTGCCGCTGTTGATACTTGCGGCGTATTCTGTGTGAGAGTGCGCCCGTTTAGCATGGATTTGTTGGGGCCCGACCCCTTCTTAAAATATCCCTGTCTGCCCATCCCTTCCTCCCTCTTGTGTGTGTGTTTCATTCTCTGTTTCCACGCTGGTGAAGGAGGCTGCCGCTAGCTCCGAAGCCGCGTCGAGGGCGCTCGCCGACAAGGAGGAGGAGGCCGCGCGGCTGCGGGAACGCGTCCGCGACGCCGCCGAGGAGAAGCAGGTGACACGCATGTCATCACATTACGTGAACTTGTGTTACGGCATGTACTCTAGCTGTCTCTGTCTTTCGATGTCTATCCCCGCTTCTCTGCCCCACCCCTTCGCTCCACTCCTCTTCTGTCATACATAACCCCGAAACCACCCTCCTGTCTCCATCGCAAAACATTATTCACGCCGTGGTGAGCAGATCGTCGCAGCGGAGCTCGCGGCCGCAGTCGCGGAGAGGGAGCGTGTGTCGGCTACCATGTCTTCCCTGCGGCGCCGAGCCGCCGAGCAGGATAGGGAGGTGGAGCGTCTCACCATCGAGCTGGAGGAGGCGAGGGAGGAGGCGGCGGCGGCTTCTGGTACGGCCGCTGAGGCTGCTTTGGCTAGCTCCCGTCAGGTGAGAGAGACGCCGCTCACTGCTTCGCGTGCGACTGCTTCGCGCAGAAGCATGTTTGTTGTCGCGCTGACGCAGGCGCATGGTTTTGGTAGAGCGGTGGTCCCTGTACAAGGCCAGCCGTAAGACCGGTGACATCGTGTGACTTGGTCATGTCGAGGTAGCACCAGTAAAACGATTTTTGGCGAAATAATACCGATGACGTGAAACCATGAAATACCCAGGAAAAGGGTTTGTGTGCTCGAGTGTCATCGGCAACCGAAAAAGCACTGAGTTTCCATTCGAACCCCTTCCCCCGGGCCTTGTTCTAATGCTGCTTTATTTTGTCTGGCTGGAAAACAATATGATATTACAGGCGGCGTTGTCGGAGGCGAGGTCGAAGTTGGCAGCTGTCGAAAACGCCTTGTCTCGCTCGGACGAGGAGTTGCAGGAGGCCCAGTCTCAGCTAGGGCGTATGCAGGTGTGTGCGCAACCAAGGGTCCTCCGGCGGCATACATATTGTACGATTATTGGGAATCATTGGATAGGCAGAGCAGGTGTTCCAAGAATTGAGTCGGTGTTCGATGGCATTGCGACATACTGCAGCGCCCAGCAGGTTTTCCCAGGGGGAAAATTTGGAATGTCTTGAGGGGGGAAGAGTTGTTTCGACGACTATGTAAGATGGCCACAAATCACACATTTCAATGTCCCGGTCAATGTTGCTGCTGTTGCTGCTGCTACTGCTGTTGTTGTGTTCGCGATGAAAACCGTCCCGGCTAACACGGGCAAACAACAACGATGTCCTCTCGAGATTTGCTGCCCCTTAGCCCACGCCCCTCCCTAACCTCGACAGCCGTCACCGCCTATCTACTACTGCACCCTTGTCGTTGATTGAGCAGGCCGAAGGTGTTGAGCAGCAGGCGCTGTTCGAGGCGAAGGTCGCCGAGCTCTCCGCCGCCGCCAGCAAGATCTCCTTGCTGGAAGACAGCGTCGCCAGGCACCTCGCTCGCCACCAGGATCTCGAGGACGAGCTGCAGGTTTGTGCTATACTTCGACCTGGTTACATGGTGTTCTACCGCCCTGTTCGGGAATACAGTAGTGGGGGACCCTGTATATTGCCCGGTGCCCGGTATCGTGCCGGTGTTTTGGGCTCGCTCACATTGAATCAACGACGCCGTTCTGTACTTGGAGTAGTGCCCGTGTCCGGTATGGTGTCGGTAAAATCTCTGGACACATGCCGGCACAATACAGAGGGCCCACTGCTGTATAGGGACCATTGTGGTATTCGTGCTTGTATCCATGCGGCCCTTATTTTCTCAAACAAAGTGGAATGTATCACACGACGGGACCTTTTATTTTGGTTTGTTGCAGAAACTCCGCCAAGAGACTGGAGGTCTGAGGTCTGCGCAGCCCGGAAGCGCGGGTTTCGACCACACTGACTCCCCGTTGTTCCAACTTCTTTCGTTGTTGTTTCGACGCAGAAACTTCGCGAAGAGACCAAGGCCCTGGAGGCAAGCCGCGACGCGCTGGAAGCGGAGGCCAGTGCCAAGCTGGCCGAGAGGAACAGCGAGCTCGAGGCCTTCAGGGCGCGCACTGCCGACCTGACTGCGAAGCTTGAGGTAGCTTCGCTGATAGAATGCGTGTGTTTCTTTGGGTATTGCGTGGTCTTGTTGTTTATGGAGCGTGGCCTTTGCTCTAACTACAGCAGTACTTGTGGAATTTCAGATTCGAATTCGTTGGGCTGTGTCCGCGAGATATCGTCGTGTTGGTAGTTAGTGCTATCTTCCACGGGATGAATACCGGTGTGTGCTGGCTGATGTTGGTCGTGCGTAACGGCATCTACGTGCATGGCATGTTACGAGAGCTGCGGCATGGGGATTCAACAATAGTAACCATGGCACCTGCTGACGTAACGGCCGTATGCAGCGAGGATGGCCGCGAGCAATCTCATTTTGCTGCAGGAGACTATATGTAGAGACTCACTCCAAGCAAGTCCCTGCAGCCTCGATTTTTTTTGTTCTCTTGCTAACAGAACGTTGGTGATGGCCGTGTCCATTAATTCCACGCTTGCCTTTTGTCGCAGAGCACCAATGCTGGCCGCGAGGAGATGGAGGTTGAGAGCAAGCGCTTGAAGCGGGATCTCGAAGCCCGCTGCCGGGAGCTGGAGGCCGAGAACCAGGTAGCCAGCCTGTTAATACTGTTTTAGAGTATTTTCTCTTCCCGCCGACAGCCCGTCTGTACCCGTTCGTCCCTCGCTGTGTCCATCATCATTATCCTCCCCTAGGGTGTTACTCCGCCCTACAGGCAGACATTGTTTTGTGTGTTACCGTGATGCTTATTTTCGGGTGTCAGGATCGTGGGGTTCGGTGTGTGTGTACGCACCAGCCTGGGCCAATAGAACAGTAGGAAGGCCACGGACGGGCCTTTCTTCTTTGACGTGCTCCTTGTTTTATTACCCTCAACTTGCTTCCGCGGTGCTTGCCTCAAATTTTGTTAGTTGCGTCATAGTCTAGTCTCTAGTCTCTTGCACGTTGTTGGAGGTGCCTTGGCTTGTCGGTTACACATAAGCAAAAGCGTCTTGGAGTCTTTTTTATTCAGATCTTCTTTCGTGACTGGCTTCACCCTCTACGTGGTAGGAATACTTTTGTACGTGCGTGTGCGTCGAATGCACGTTGTCAGAGGTGTTTTACTATATTGTGCTTGCAACACCGGGTCTTCCCGCCCCCCCCTCCCCGCACCCACGAGACTGACCACCATGAAAGTGGCACCTGATGCAAGAACTGCAGTATGTATCCATAGAGCAGATATCGCGGAGTATTACAACGGTTATCACTTGGTAGAATTTGGAAGCCGTTCTACGCTGCTGGTATAAAAGGGTTAGCAGTTGCTTGTGTGCCCATACTCCAAGTGTTGACCCGTGCCCCCCTCGACCCCTTTTGTTGGGTGGTTTGGTCCGAGCCGCGTTTTGCCTCAACATCCCGTCACGTCTTTCAGCCGAGAAAATGTTTTCATCATCACACCTGGCGGAGAGCGATACAGCGTGTTTCTCGTCTCTCCTCGTTGTCCATACGCACGTACCGGTCCTCCAGGCCCAGGAGGCCGAGTTCGAGCAGAAACTTTCGGAGAAGGTGGCTGAGCTGAAGGCTAACGCCCTCGACATGCAGGCGAAAGTCAGGGAGCGAGAGATGCTGGAAGCGAGGCACGCCGAGAAGCTGCAGGTGCGTGCGTTTTTTTTTTTTTGTGTATATTTTATTTACTACAAAAACCGACTTACCATTGGACATCCGCCAGGTCTCGGGTGTGTAAGTTGTGTTTAATCACGATTTCAAACCAATCACGCAAAAGTGGGTTGCGGTAGACTGGAGGCTTGTGGAAGCGAGGGTCGGTGCTTCTCTACGAACGGGGCCTACCAATGGTAGTTTGCTGCGCCCGGGATTACTGTTTAAGCGGCGGAGGATGATCAAAGATATTCGCATCGACCTATCCACGTCTCTTAGTTTCCCCACTTCCGCGGTTTGTCCCGTTCACCAAGCCGACAACAACGACCAAACACACCACCAACAGCAAGAAAAAACCCGAATGAATGTGCAAAGAACGCTACCATATCCAAGAACTCCACCGCAAGCACTCGAGGGAGCGACCACGAAACACACGACTGCTGTAGCAAGAACACTGCGTTTTTGATCCGTTCACCGAACCGACAACAACACGACCAAACACATGGGCAACACGAAGAAGAGAAGAAGTCGCGCCACGAACACCACCTCAACCACTTGGTACCTTAAGCCCTCTTTTGCAACCACTTACTGACACCACCGCAACCGCTGGATGGGCAACTCCAGGCCCTCGAGGGGGAGAAGGCCTCCATGCGCGCCGAACTCGAGGACCGGTACGCCTCTTCTTCGGAGGAGCTCCGCGCCCTGTCTACCGAGAAGAGGAAGGCCGACGAGGCTTGCTCCGCGCTGCGCGACCGGGCGAGCGCCCTCGATGACCGCACGGAGACGATGGCTGGTGAACTCAAGGTGCGTGTGCGTGTATGTGTGTGTGTGTGTTTTCTTTCTTTTTTGTTTAGCATCGTCCCCGCTATCGGGCTGAGTACGTTGAATAGACGCCAGTCTCGGCACGGTTGAAGACACAAAATGCTCCTAAAGGCCACGAGCTGGGATCCCGTGAAGGGGCGTCACGGGGGAGACGATGCTACTCTCCGGAACAGAGCCTGGGTGTGTGTTTGAACTACAATGGACCGCACTTACCGGCTGACCAATGAAAAGACGCCAGTCTTGCAGCGGGACTAAAAACGCGAAGACGCTGTCTCAGTAAAGGGTTCTGCTGACAGGAGGACCTTTGTGTGTGTCGTTTTGGCTTTTGGGGGAAGCTTTTGTTGCTGGCGGAATGGTGCACACCCCCCTCATGTGTTGTAACCGCAAACCGTTCTGGGAAGGGTGTTGGCCGTGGGGGACGGCGTGCACGCGCAAGGCAGGCAGGGGGTATGTTGGTGGTGGATCTGTTCACCTGTACCTTGAGTCTGTGGAAGCCGGGGGTTGGCTCGGGCTCGCACAATACTCGGTAGTAGTCTTGGTTCACTCTCACATTTGGCACGCCTTAATATTCTACTTACAGTTTCCGTCTTCTGTTTCTCGGGGGGGTGACTTAGTAGAAAGCAGAGCCCTCACTCCAAACGTACAGGCTCGTTCAGATTCTCGGCTCACCCTTCCGGAGCGGGGTTGGTTCCCGTCTTTCTCTCTGAATTCGCATATCCCGTTGCATGATACTCACACCTTCCGTAGTTGTCTAGCATCTTTGTCTGTTCGCGGTCCCTTCGCTGAGGAACAGGAATCATTGTTTCCTTGCACGGCACGCAGTAAGTTGTCCCGCTGCGTCCCACCGGTCGAGATGCGCGCACGTAAGTAAGCCGAACTGTCTGTGAGGATTGACCAAGGAAATCAGACCGGGGGCGGTTAGAAATCGTCGATCTTGGGGTACAATTACATACGCATATCACCAGTATACGAAAATCACAAAGCTACGGAGTGCACGCAAAGCACACATGCCCACGAAATGCACCAGAGGACTTTTCTCACACTCTCCCTCAAATCTTGGCCTCAACCAACCACCTGTCTTTATCATCACTCACACGAAAGTCAAAATCATCCACAAAGCACGAAGGCCCACTACTACACCGCAGGGCCGACCGGGCCTTTTTTCTCAAGCTCTCCCTCTCGGCTCCACTCGCCACATATCACATCCCCAACAACAGGCTATGGCCGACAAGAACGCCTCCTTGACTGCAGGAGCCGAGTCCTCCCGCAAGCTTCTCGCCGCGCGGGGCCAAGAGGTGGCCGACCTCGTCGTCAAGGCCGCTGCGGAGGCCGCCAGCGCCGGCGCCGCCCTGTCGGCGATGGAAGGTCGTCTCCGGGAGGACAAGCGAGCGGCGAGGGCGGAGATTTCGGAGATTGTGAAGGAGGCCGAGCAAGCGGCGTCGACGGCCAGGGAGGCTGAGGAGCGCAGCTCTGAGGAGATTGGTGAGGGGGGGGGGGGGGGGGGTTGTTGTACTTGGTGCTTTGTTTTAGTGGGAGTGGGTGAGTATGTCGAGTATACGACTGGTGTTGACGTTTGCGCGAATTTTTGCTGGGCTCGAGGTGGAGGCTGAAGTGTCAAGTATACGACTGGAGTTTGAGATTGAAGTGTTATTTGCTGGCGTGAGTGCAAGTGTGAGGGGGGGGGAGGTGGGAGTATCGAGTACTCGACTGTAGAGATTGGAGTGCTCTGTGCTGGCTCGAGGGTTGTCTGTGAAAAGGGGAACGTTTCTGCCTTTGGTTTGGTAGGGACGGATGGACAGGGCGAGGACTGTTTGCTTGCATCCTCGATGTGCATGGCTGGTTTGGGGCGTTGCCCGAACCGGTTCTTGTTGACGATATCCGAACTTTCACCGACAACAAAGTCTCAGGTTTTTTTATGTCCCGCCCTGCATGTTTTCTAGTTGATGGACCCTCTCCCTTCTCCTTCATTTTCTTGTGAGCCTGTGGGTCACGCCAGTTGCATCTTATCGATAGATAGTCAAAGATGCACGATTCGTGTCGTACGCAATTCGGGTCAAGAAACACAGTAGTTTCACGATACTCCCCCCTCTGAGCCCTGCGCAACAGGCATAAGGCTCAAAAATGCCTGACAAGATTGATGAACGTCAGGCTCGAGCTCGAAGCTGACGGTCCTCGTGCACGGCCATCAACTCTCTTCTTGTTGCACCGTATCGTATCGCATCGTAGGTTCCCTCCGCAGAGAGGCGGCGAGGCTGACAGGAGAGCTGCAGGTGCTCAGTCACGACATGGCCAGCTCGGAGAGGGAGGCTTCGGACGCCATGCGGCAGAAGGAGGACGAGCTCGCCGCCGCTCGCAAGGAGAGCTCGCGCTTCGAACAGGAGGCGGAGAAGTACAAGAAGGTCGTCGCCGGCATGCAGTTTCAGGTACAGGGCCCCCCCCCCCCCCACTTTAGAGAAGGTTCGGGTTTAGGGTTTAAGTCTGCTCCACACCTTCAAGACGAACTTATTTTTCAGAACCAGGTGTCCCGTGATTTCAAAAGCCTTGGCATTAGACCTTGAAGACGCTGCCCCGCGTTGCAGACTTTTTCCCTTGTGTATGTACTTGCATGTGCGTCTGCAACGCGGGGAAGGCTGTAATATGTGGCGGGTGTGGTTGTGTGCAGCCTCGGAGGGGGGGGTGCGGGTGTTCGGTAGCTCCGCATGTAGACGCTACGCCTGGCAATGCCGGCCGTACCTCCTCCACCGGTCTCCCTTCATCGATACCGGTACCTGACACCCCGCCGCCCGACCCGTGTTTGTAATCGATTATGCAATCTAACCCTGGTTCGGAGAACGTTCGGCCATACCCCGTGGTACAAGGCGCCCCCGTGACGTTGCCGCGACGACGTTTTACACAACCTTTTTTTTTTCCCCGTCTTCCGTTGGCTGCCCTCTCTTCCTCTTTGTCATGACACCGCCATTTGTCGGCACCTGTTGATGTTGGTCTCGGTGGGACGGCACCGCCAGCTCGATGAGGTGTCTTCAAAGCTCCGGGGGTCGGTGGCGGAGCTGCTCAAGGAGCAGCAGGAGCACAAGGAGGCCATCGGCAGGAGCGCTCAGGAGGTGGCTCGGGCTGCCAATTCCCTGAGTTATCTGGAGAAGGAGGTTGGTTTCTTGGTGGGGGAGGCTGCTGCTGCTGCTGCTGCTGCTGCTGCTGCTGCTGCTGCTGTTGTCACTACTTTAGCTGTTACTTACTATCCGTAAGGTCGATGGTGCTGTTCTTTCGTGCTGTTGTTGTTGCAAGTTGATGGCGTTTGCTGATGCTGTTGTCGACGTTGACTACATTTTTTTGCGATGCACCGCCGCCGCTGCTGCTGTTGTGTACGTTTGGTTGGTGCGTATCGGTCGTGTCACGGCAACAACCTCCCTGAGTCGCACATCGTCTAGAACACCTCACGCGCTAGACCAATGTCCCCCCCGCCCCCCCCCCCCCCCCTCATCAGGGCTCCCGGCCCCAGGGAAAGTCTAGCCCCCAAAACCCCCCAACTTGGGTCCTTCCCCGAAAAAAAAGATAGCGCCCACCCCCAGGCCCTGAGGGGGTCCGCCCCAACCGACGCCCTGGAAGCGCAGCTCCCGGCCTCCCCCCAGGGGCTCGCCCAAACGCAAGAGGGACTGCCGGGGGGGTCCTCCAAAGGGGTTTGGCTGAAGCGGGACGCCCCCCAACTGGAGAATAAGATGAAAAACGAGGGGGCCGCGGCGGCGGCGGCCCTGGAAGGGGAAGGGGAGGCTCCGGCGGAAATGGAGTCCAAAGGGTGTGTTGGGGGGTGTTGTGTTGTGTTGGGGGGGACCGGAGGAAACCGGGGGGGGGGGGGGGTTAAAAGGGGAAACCCTAAGGATTTGTATTTTTAGGGTTTTGCCCCACTTGGGCCAGGAACGCCCACCCATTTTTTATGGTGTCCAAAAGAAGAAGAAGAAGGGGGGGGGGGGAAAAGCTTTTTTACCCCCCCCGGGGTTTTTTTTTGGGCCCCCG